GGGAATAGAATTATGATTTACAGTTGATGGTTAAGGTAAGGAATTAGATTTAGAATTTTCATCATGAAGTGATATCAACAATAATGCCAAGAATCTATTTATCCAAATGGTGAATGAATTTCGCGCCAAAATCGAGTGACCTATTATCTTATATCTAATTGGTTCCTCTATAAATTAAAGTCTCTCCATTTTTGTACAAAAAGCCACATTTATAAATAAAGGTAAGCTGTTATTGGAGTTGAATAGCATGTGATGATGGTATGGTCAACGGATTATCAATCATTATTCTTGAGTTACATTTTGACCTTAATAATTATTCACTTATGAACCATGACTATTTTTCTATGATCGTATGTGTGTGTAACTCCACCTTGAGCCCCTCTGGGGCTACTGCCGGTCCCAAGCCCGGATAAAGGAGCAGGGTTGGGTTTAGTACTTCTTATGCTATTCAACATATTTTTATTCGGCTATAAATATTGATTAACGCTTGATTGAAGGGAGTTGGCTCACACGCCGCGCGTCATTTCTATTCGCTTCCTGCACTCCGTCTCACTGATCGTATGTTCTGATTAATGAGTGTGCAAAATATACGTATTCAAAACATCTATTCTCGCACTTGACTTATTGAATTTCTTTATACACGAACGCGAGAGTAGCAAGGATATGTACATTTCGATAACTTGATAACAATCATCATACAGTCCAAATGGTGTCTGATCTTCAGCCACCAAACTCATAGAACTGAGCATATACAACTGATAACTTTATGCTGAATCGTTTATTTTATCTTCGGATATCATTTCAAGTTAAACAGTAATAATAAATGAACAGTCATTCATCAATCAAACTCAAAGAACATGTGCAAATCTTTTGCAATTATAAGGACAAGGAGAATGTGATCATAATAGTAGTGATAATATTAATATGTAGATCTTATTGGTTAAGAATTGATCTCAATTAGAGTGTTACTGAAAGTCATAAAACACTGAATAGCTGTTTCATCTTAGCATGGAAATTTTCATTTGTTTGATGGACGCCGAAACCTAAAGATTTTAGGTTTGATTTCCGGCGGCCCTAATGGATGTTGAACTGTCCCATACTTGAACAAAACAGCCTTCAAGTGTTCCCTGGTTTAATAATGATCCTCAGGTAAAAATAAATATGTGATAAAAATCTCTTAAAATTTTAAAGAATCCTTACAAAAAGAATTCGCTAAATAGTTGTTGTAACGGGTGAGTGACTGCAGGTTTAAATACGCAGCGTTATATCGATCGCTCCTGTGACAGTGGACACGTAAACATGTAAGGATGACCTAGTGCCCTGATTGGCCCTGCTTCGCTGTCTGTCCCAGCCAATTGAGTCAAGAACACAAATCACTGCCTCTGAGTTATGAATCATTATATTTCAAACATACTTTGTTTATATACTAGTCAAGCAGACCACAACGTACCATAAAATAGAAAATAACATTGTACAATATTGGCCAACAGGAAAATAACACGTTAAATAAATATCGACCAATGCAAAATGTACATTTAAGGTCCAAGGACACCAATGGACTTAACATGATAATTATTGGTCTATTTTTCCCGACTATCCTAACACCTCCCCTTTTTCAAATGATCCGGAGTTCATATCTGCATTTTAAAATTTTCTGGGTTCATCCTCCCCCACGAAATAATGTTGGGTCCTCATCTCTCCAAGTTAAAATTAATTTGACTTTATTTAACCCATGATGGTCACATGGAACAGAGAAGTCACTAAAAGTGATTAAGTAGTGTGGACCAACGTCGCTTGATATGAAGTCATCAACCTTTGATTCTTCTGGAACATTACCATAGAATTCCTTGAAAAACTCATTTGTGGATAGTCGATCACTGGGATAATTAACATCTATCAAAATTGTATTCAACTTCTGATCATCATTTGTGGCATCTAACACATTTTCTGGTACAAGAGGATCCAGATAATAAGATTCATCAGAGTCTCCTGTTGTTGACTGATGAGGACCGTTCGGAGCAGCTAGACTCAGTATAGTGCACGATTTGTTTCCTGTTTCCTTGTGAGAGGGCACTGTAATTAATTTATGAGCATTTAATGAAAGATCTTCCTGTGAGCTGGGTACATCACTGTCTGTACACGTTTCAGGAATAGTGGGATTTGAACCCACAACAGGGCATGATTCTGAACTGGACATTCCCGGATCGCTAGACGGGTTATGAGCGACTGCCTCATTTGCATTACTGATCATAAGGGATTCATAGAGGCTTTTGTTTTCATCTTCATATGTCCTGCAGTCATTCTCGAGTTCAGAATGTAAGTGAGAAATGAATTCATCAACTTCTTTCACATCTCCGAAACATGGGAGATCTAGCAGAAGCGTGAGTAAATAGTCCAAAACACGCTGTTGCTGGCGATCTAGTAGTAGCTGCAATTGATCGGGAAGGCTAGTCATTTTCTGAGTCAGCAGGGTAATGAGAAATACTGTAATAGATTAAAAACCAATGATTCCCAAAGACGCCGACAAATCTGGATACTGATTGGTCAAAATAATTATGCTGAATCTCGTCCAATTAGAGGGTTCAAAATTTTCTCTACCCCGTCGCCAATTGTTGTAACGTGGTGTGACTGCAGGTTTTAGATACGCAGCGTTATATCGATCGCTTCTGTGACAGTGACCCGTAAACTTGTAAGGATGACCTAGTGCCCTGATTGGCCCTGCTTCGCTATCTGTCCCCAGCCAGTTGAGTCAAGAACAAAAGTCACAGCCTCGGAGTTATGAATCATTATATTCCAAACATACACTATTTATATACCAAGCAAACAAACCACATAGTACCACAAAGTAGAAAATAACATTGTACAATATTGGCCAACAGGAAAATAACACGTTAAATAAATATCGACCAATGCAAAATGTACATTTAAGGTCCAAGGACACCAATGGACTTAACATGATAATTATTGGTCTATTTTTCCCGACTATCCTAACAATAGTAATCATAATAATAAATTAACTTGGTATTGTTTACTTGAATCTTCCTATTGATGATTAGGACTGCAATTGATCAGTCTCTTCTTGGTATATAAGCATCCTGAGCATATTGCCTCGGCAAAGCCTTAATTCACAAGGATTATATGCAAGGATGAATGGTGGCTAGTAGTAGATTCCAATTTGATGAGCATTTCGTCCTATTTAAGACTCGTCAGCTGGATGTACCTGCATCTCAGAGTTGATGTTCACCCTGGTACACGAGCCCAGGTACGTCAAGCTGATGAGTCCCAGATAGGACGAAACGCGAGTCATCGATTCCACTACTAGCCATTATTCATCTTTGCTTGTCAATAATAATAGACTAAGATAATATTAAAATTTTCTAAATCTTTCAGGTTATGTAAGAATAAACTATTAGAATTGGTCGTAAGTTTATTTTGTAATTATCAACTATTCTTTTCCTACATCATTTCTATAAAACTCTTGAGTATATTGATTTTGGCTTGTATTCAAAATGTCATTTCTAATAAAAGAAATCCTTAAAACTGTTTGTAAAGAATTTGATTTTAGATATCCCCTTTGATATTCACCTTTGTCATTTTAGAATTTATACTTCTGTTTTCTGGGAGATTGATATTGGAAGGGGTTCTGTAGATATTAAAGTAATTTTAATAGTTGAGATCATGAATCGATTGAAGCTAGACCATCATGGAAAACCTGGAATCACTGAGCGGGAACTTCGTCCTGTCGCGGAACTGCTCAGTAGCGCGCATCCACGATCCCTCCTTGCGATATTCGAGCCCAAGACTTATCAGTTTCGCGACTGAGCCCTTAAATACTGGACTACTGATTAGACCATTGATTAAAATCGCATGATAGAAAAGTTGATTGTGATTCTTTTTTCCCCCACTTTTTCCAATAAATCGTTAATTTTATGATATTTTTCTTAATTTTCTTCAGTGGTCAACTTGGTCAAAAGTATACAATACAATCAACACCTGAACTAAGGATAGGGAGTGAAGCAGTCGAACGCATTGGCAACTTCACTGATATTGGAAGTTTGATCAGCCCTAATGGGTTGGTGTCTGAAAAAATCTCAGCACCAATTCAGATAGCGCGTTTGGCTTTTGCCAACATACGTTACCAACTATGGCGATGGTGATATATCAGCCTATCAATTAACGGACGAGTATACTGAGCAGTGGTTCGTTCTGTCCTACCTTACGCCTACGAAACGTGGCTATTAAGAGTAGGAGATATTCTTAAGTTACTAATATTTGATCACAGATATCTTGGAAATATTGCTCGTATCTGCTGGGATCAACGGGTAAGTTATAGGGAGGTTAGATACAGGATATCGGGGAATGATGATGGTAAATCAGTTGATGGAATTGTGAATCTTCATTGACTGAGATAGTTGGGTCACGTGTTATGTATGTCTGAACATCGATTACCACGATGTGCAATGCTGACTAGTGTTGGAGATGGTTGGAAGAACATTAGAGGCGGCGAAACCAAAACGTGACATCAGTTATTGAAGTCACTAATTTCTAGTCTTCGTCATGTTAGTAGATGCAGACTATTTGGTTGGGGTTGTCGTGACTATCGTAATCAGTGATTTGAGACTGTGTGTGACATGGCTCAGAATCGATCACAATGGTGTAGGTGTATACACTCTCTGTCTTCTCTTAAACTGTGAAGTTAAAATCGCTTTATATGTTTATTCCACGAAATAATTCTTTCTTCTTGTACTATATCCTTATGTGCAATCTCTCTTTTACATATTGCCACCAGTGAATTAACTACTTCTGTGAATCCGGTGTTCATCTTGTTGTGCTAATGAGGTATAACAGCTTGTACCGATGCACATATGTACTTGGTCCTACGATGTAGTCGACTGACTGAATAGGTATTTATTAAAGTTTGTTTGTCAACTGATCCACCTCCATATAATATCAATTAAGTGATTTTTAAGACTGATATATAATTAATATGAAATGTTTACCCTTTCTTCAAGTTCTTTATAACGTTGTTGAAGAATTAAATTCTCTTGTTCCAAACATTTTACACGTTCAAAACATTCTTGTTTCACCTATAAAAGAAATGAAAATATAAATGAATTAGAATAGATAGTAAATACAGATCTGAAGTATCGGTTAAGTCCACATGTAAACGTATAACTGTGTGTGTGTGAATGTGCACTCCTTTTATCCTATTTATCACACGTCTGTAGCTTATTTTTGTGTGATTATAAATATTGTCAGAATGGGTTTTGTGGAGAGTTTTTTAGAAATTTCACAGGTTGAAATCATGAGTCAGTTGAAGCTAGACCACCATTGAAAACCTGGAAGTACTGGACGGCCGTTTCGTCCTAGCATGGGACTCCTCAGCAGTGCGCATCCACGATCCCGCACCACGCGGGGCTCGAACCCAGGACCTACTGGCTTCGCGCGCGAGCACTCAACAACTAGACCACTGAGCCGGCATCCAACGGTGTTAATGTCTAACTTCAACCAATCCACGAATTTGCGCCACCGTACATCATTGTCTTCATTGAGTTGTTATCTCACAACAGACTGGTTGAACTCCACTGGTAACGGCTTCTCACTAGAACTCCAGGAGTTTTTCCTGAAGTCAGTCACTAGTGAGTAGTTGATTATTATCAGAATGGGTTTTGTGGAGAGTTTTTTTAGAAATTTCACAAGTTGAAATCATGAGTCAGTTGAAGCTAGACGCTTGATTAAATCGAGTCGGCTTGCATATTTTCTTCACTGTGCATCATTTAACTTCACTCTCTTCTCTGAGCTTCGTCCCTCTTATTATCTGCTCAGATCAATGAGTGTAAAAAATATACATAATTGAAACATTCATTCACGTATTTGACTTATTTAATTCTGTTATTCACTAACACCATCTAAGTCGATAATTAAATACGAGAATAAGCAGGATGTCCATTTTGACATTAAACATTCATACGATATAACTGAAGTTAGATCCCAGATCACAAAATGTGTACGAGATTATAAACATATGAATTTTATATAGATTATAACACAGAAGTTCCACATTACATATTACATACAATATAGATTGTAACTGACATTGATTCGAATAAAGGATTATTATACACTCACTGAAATTACACTTAAGAAGATGATTAATGTCCATTATCTACGACAACTTGATTGTTACATGTCTAAAATGTTTTATATTGTTTTCTAGTCAGTTTAATGTACATGAACTTGAAATAAACTTTGACTAGTCTATCAGTCAGTCAGTCAGTCAGTCCCAACGTAGAACTTCGTACGTACGTACATCAGTTCGAGTTGCCACGCCACATTAGCACAGAGATGAAGTGGTCGATTCAAATCCCGTAGTGCTAGATGTAGTAAGATTATAAGCTGTAATCAGAAAAATTAGGGTTTGAAGATGTTATTCAAGGAGTATAATCCAGTGAAATAAATTTGGGAAGAGAAAAAAGAAAGGGACATGAAGAAATCAGAAGATTAGAATTTTGGAGAACACAAAGAGTGGATGCACCTGCGCCATTGCAAACGATTTTGAGCCATGTCATTCAGGGTCTCTAACCATCGGTTGCTATCATCTCACGGTCCCCAACCAGGTAGTCTACACCTACCAATATGACTCAGTCCACTTGTAAGTGACTCCATGGACTTGTGCCGCCACTAGCTTTCTTCCAACCTACTCCTATACCACTGAACATCGCACGTCGAGGCAGTCGGTCGTTGGGCATACGTAACACGTGTCCCACCCATCTCAACTGATGAAGTTTCATCACTTCATCAATGGATTTGCCATCCTTACCTAGTACCCGTTCCCTAACAACTGCATTACTTACTCGATGGTCCCAGGATATACGAGCAATGTTTCGTAGACACCTATGATCGAATACTAGTAACCTATGAATATCCTCTACTCTTACCGGCCATGTTTCACTGCCATAAAGTAGGACGGAACGAACTGACTAGTCTATAAGGATTGAGGAAGTGGATGAGCTTGGTTACCAGATTGGAGGAGATCTAGTAACAAAGTTATTGAATTATGTTATTTTTTTGTCATGTAGAATAAGTAAGATAAGCAACAAATTAGTTACATTTAACCATGTAGCTAGTTGGATTCGGTAAACATGAGATATGAAAACGGTCATCATACCATCTGCAAGGCTATTAATAGCGGTTGGATTTTTAAAAAAACACAATATACCGAATCTAGAGCTCTTCAACAGTGAGCTGTAAACGTGTTAACATTTTTGTTAACTAGATAACGTACGACTCTGGAAATGATCTTACTAATAGCTACTATGCAGTTTTATGGAATTGCTGGGTGTTTTTAATAGGTAACCTGGGTTTCTAACTAAGTTATCCCAATTATGTTATCATTTACGACCATCATCAAGAAGGTATAAGCATTTATAAATAGTTGTCTGCACAAGATACTCAACATCCATTGACCGGATACGATCAGCAACAGCCTACCGTGGGAGAGAACAAACTAGCTTCCAGCTGAAGAGGAATGTAGGGGAAGACTTTGGAAATGGATAGGACATACATCACGCAAATCGTCAAACTGCATCACGAGGCAAGCCCTCACTTGGAATCCTGAAGGGAAGCAGAAAAGAGGAAGATCAAAGAACCCATTACGTTGGGAAATACAAGCACATATGAAAAGGATGAATGAGAACTGGAAAGAGTTGGAAAGGATTGCCCATGACAGGGTTGGATGGAGAATGCTTGTTGGTGGCCTATGCTTCTCCACGAGGAGTAACATGCGTAAGTAAGTAAGTAGGTAAGTATCCCAATCATACTTACTTACTTACTTACTTACGCCTGTTACTCTTAATAAGGCATAGGCCGCAGACCAGCATTCTCCAACCCACTCTGTCCTGGGCCTTCTTTCTTAGTTCCATCCAATTCTTGTTCATTTTTCTCATGTCTATCTCCATTTCCCGGCGTAATGTGTTCTTTGGTCTTCCTCGTTTCCTTTGGCCTTGAGGATTCCATCCCAATCATACTATTTGAAATACTTTCTTTTATATTTGGGATGTTTTTTCCTGCAGAAGACTCAAAACGAAACTAAACTACTAAACGGTTTCACAAATATTGATACGGATTACAATGAAACATGTTTAATAAGTGATATAAAAAAGATGGTTAAATCGTTAACTGGATTGAATCATTTCACTTACTTGTTTAATAACTTCACCAAGTATATTCCATGGTTGATTACAGTCTGAATAATTTCGTTGAATCTTTTCATAAAATAACCTGTAAAATAATAAGTAAGCAAACATAATATGTGTTAGACTTAGAACATAATTTTATGGTTGAATTCATGAGTCAATTAAAGGTTGGCCACCATGAAAAACCTGGAAGCACTGAACGACCGGCTTAGTCGTTTAGAGGTTAAGCGTTCGTACGCAAAACTGAAGGTTTTGAGTACGAGGTCCGTGACTTCGCAAGGCGAGGTACTGGATGCGCACTGTCGAGGAGTCCCACAATAGGACGAAACGGCCGTTAAGTATTTCCAGGTTTTTCATGGTGGCCTAGCTTCAATTGACTCATGATGTCAACTATTGAAAAGAAATTGTATGATTATTTTAGAACTGGTAATGTTATCGATTGATATTAAACAAGTGAATTATTAAAAAATAGATGAATACTGACAAAATTTAAAAGTGAATTTGAAGTTCTACAAACTTCTCAATCTAATATGGTGTATGCTACTGATAACAACAGGCATAAATAGTATGTATTATCAATCGAAAGTGAAATACTTGGCAGTAGAAGGTTAAGAAAATCAAAGAAAAGAGACTGAGTACCGAGAATAATTGCTGTGGAAATGAATGAACAAAAAAGTTTGACACAATTAGATGGTGGTTGAACGTAGTCAACAGGAAACCCTGGACCCGGGTTTCGTGCTACTTGGCACTCGTCAGCAAGGTGTACCTGTAATCATGAGTGAACTGGTGCTCCCTGGCGAATTTGATCCCATGTCACCCAGCTTCACAGTCAGAGACGTTACTACTGAGCTATCCGGGCCGCGACTGATCTCCCGTAAGACTTCACACGCATGATATTGATCACCACCGAATGATCAATCAATTGTGAAGTTTGACACAATTGATTGACACTTTACAAATGAAGTAATTACTGTATGATGATGAATTTCAATACTTGGAAAATTCATGTGTCCCAAACTGATTCTCTATTCTAATTTTATTCTCGTTATATTTACTAGTTATTGTTTATTTAACTTTCGTGGATTTTGGGAAAAAATCTTTATTCTAGAACCGACTTATCTAACGACAGATACATGTTTATATACGTGTATATACCTGTGTGTGTGTATGTGTGAATTGGTGTGGGTGTGAGTGTGTGAGAATCTTTTATACGTAAACGTAGATATATGATATAAACTAAGCATCATAACCGTTATCAGATCTAACATCATAAATAAAATCACATTTATATACGTGATAAACATTTCCTTAATATACATGTAAACGACTTTTTTATATTTCAGGCTAACCAAAGTACACGATCGTAACAACAACAACACCAACACCAACACCAACACCACCGCCACCACCACCAAAAACTGATCGTAAAATAATATTAAGGCAGTAATGATGATAAAGATAAGTTTAGGTATTTCTTCTCTATACAAAGTTCACTTAAGCAATGAAAAACACAAACTCTTAGATAATAAAACTTTTTTATTAGTAGTGTGAAATTTAGTAGTTTGCACTGTAGTTGTCTTTTTTGTGGGGGGGGGATGGGAAGAGGAGCAGACTAAAAGATTAAGTATAATAAATTATATTTCCAGTTTATTTGATGTATACAATAGTCAAGCTTAATATAGATCTAATTGCTGTCAATGACTCTTATGTTATTTAGTTAGTATAAAGTTTTGTAATATGAAATTAACAGTACTGAATTTGAGATTTCTATGACACTATGATTGTTGTGACATTAAGTCCGTTTAATTATTATGTGATTTATTCACCAACTGAAATAAGACTTATACAATCTTAGTACAGTGTTAAACCAATAATGTTCGACCGATATGAGTAGCCTAGTATCTTTATTGGTTCCTTTGTTCTCGTAGATCGTCCAGTTGAGTCCTGAATGTCAATAAGAGCTTTCACTATATAAATCATTTAATTCAAATATAATTGGTTTATATACCAGTCAAACAGACCACATTACATCATAAAATGGGAAATAAAATTTAAGTAAGATCAATCCAAAAACTGTTTGTGAATGTGGGAGACTGTAATCAATAAACTGAACATAACTTAAGAGTAGTAAATCATAATAGTCTATGGATCAAAATAAAGCCTATAATAAAAGGAATACAGTTATACATAATCGACAGCTTCACTTATCTTGGGTTGACGTCTGACGAACTCTCAGCACCAATTCAGATAGCGCGTGTGTCTTCTACCAACTTATGTCACCAACTATGCCGAAGGCGATATATCAGCCTATCAATTAACGGACGAGTATACTGAGCAGTGGTTCGTTCTGTCCTACCTTACGCCTACGAAACGTGGCTATTAAGAGTAGGAGATATTCTTAAGTTACTAATATTTGATCACAGATATCTTGGAAATATTGCTCGTATCTGCTGGGATCAACGGGTAAGTTATAGGGAGGTTAGATACAGGATATCGGGGAATGATGATGGTAAATCAGTTGATGGAATTGTGAATCTTCATTGACTGAGATAGTTGGGTCACGTGTTACGTATGTCTGAACATCGATTACCACGACGTGCAATGCTGACTAGTGTTGGAGATGGTTGGAAGAACATTAGAGGCGGCGAAACCAAAACGTGACATCAGTCATTGAAGTCACTAATTTCTAGTCTTCGTCATGTTAGTAGATGCAGACTATTTGGTTGGGGTTGTCGTGACTATCGTAATCAGTGATTTGAGACTGTGTGTGACATGGCTCAGAATCAATCACAATGATGTAGGTGTATACAAGAAACTAAACCATTAAATCACTACGATAATATGAAACTTTAGGTGGTCCATTTATGATCTGTAATGACCTTCAACATTCTATGACATTGAATTAAATATGGTGTACTGACATGGTGACAAATTAAATTTCCATAGACTCGAAACTCAAAGAACAAGAGATGGGAGAGTACTAATACAGAATAGTGCATGTCTACATAATTACAGTTTCTATTCTACTAAGTTGACATAGACAGTAAGTAGGTCATATGCTTATTGACAGTTTTCATTAAGTGTATTCCAAAAAGCGAGGTATAGGGAAAAAACTCAGAATAATTAAAATATGTTTATGAGGAAGGGAACACCCATAAAAATGCATCAACAATTATGCTGAAGAAAGCCATAGTTTCACTGGATACTTTAGTTACTAAATAGTTGCTTCAATCAAAATCATTTGTTCAACTCAAAGTTCAGTGACAAATACATTGAAACTATAATGAAAAATACATCTGACTTCTTAGAACATTTCAAAGAACTTGAGATTCAAATGGTCATAGAACTTTCATTAGTGCAATAGCACAATATTTAATTGATAGTAGACATATTATCGTCGATTACATTTCTACTAAACTGATCATTAGAAATTTAAACAGTTGAGATGATGAGTCGCCATGGAAAACTTGGAAGTACTGAACGGCCGCTTCTTCCTATTGTGGGACTCCTCAGCAGTGCGCATCCACGACCCCACCTCGCGTTATTCGAACCCAGGACCTATCAGTCTCGCAACAGGCGCTTAAACAACTAGACCACTGAATCGGCATCCAACTGCGCACTGATAGTAGAAGTATTATCGATGATTACATTTCTACTAAACTGATCATTAGAAATAAAAGCGCGAGGTAGTTGCCATAGCAGCTCATTTTTCAGTTCAAAAAAGAAACAGTTATCAATGATTTAAAGTGACATTGTTTATTTATATGCTTAAACATCTCTTCACCAATTACATTCGCCTTAATAAATTATCGTTTTATCCACCTTAAAGATACCCTTTCACATTTATCATACTCTTTCCATTCAATTCATAGACCTTATGTAAAAAAAATATTTCAAATCTATAATATATTTCAGTTTCCTTGTTTCTTTGATTAAACTACAAATGAATGTAAGCGGCCTGATTGAACATCTGTGTGTGACCTGTTCCTACTACCATGTAATTTCAACAAGTCATCTGATCTTTTGTTTGTTTTAATACATCAATATAACTATTAATCGTATAACCTATTCAGGTGCGTTTCTGAAAATTGTAAAACATTTTGTTGTACAAATTACATAAAAAAGGTCCAATCAGAGATAACGTAGTTGCTAGCAATGTGCAAGGAAAAGAATGTACATTGTTTAAATGTTGATTGACCGGACTGTTAACTTCGAACTGGCGATCACATATTATGTTATCGTCAGTATTGACCAAGAAGTAAGAAACGGAAATGTGTTGAAATACACTGTGCTAAGAATTCTATATGGTTACATCAAATGATTAATACAAAACGATGAAAACCTTAAACAAGTAGGACAAAGAAAAACGGAACCTAACAAAGAGGGCTTTTATGTATCAAATAGAAACCCTTGATTAATTACAGGGAAAAAGTGAACCTTCATTTGTATCTAGAGCATAATAGAAATTTATTTGTATCAGAGTAAATATTTTAGTGCACTTGTAATAATCAAGACAGTTTGAATCTATAATTGATTAATCACTGTGTGTTGATCAATGTCACGTATATCAGGTCGTTCTTAGTACGAATCGAATCCTATTGACCAATTTGCAATGTGGCCACTAGTCTAGGTGACTCGACATTGCATGTACTATGTTGAGATAAGATGGTAGTTGGAGGTAGTTAACAGGATACCTTGAACCAAGATTTCATGCTACATGACACAAGTTATTGAAGAAGGTACAGCATGATATAGTCTTCTTTTAGTGACAAGTTCTAATAAAGAAGTTGATTTCATTCAATTACCAATTATGTACCAGATGTCAGTATAAAACAACAAAACATGAATATATAAACAATCAACCAGTCATAACGAATATAGTGCTTAACAAATATGTGTTACAGATTGAAATCATGAGTCAATTGAAGCTAGACCATCATGGAAAACCTGGATTTTTCCATGGTTTTCCATGATGGTCTAGCTTCAATTGACTCATGATTTCAATCTATTACATTTCTAAAATCTCCACAAACCCCCTCTGAAATTTGTGTTAGTTTAAGTTGTTATATCAGATCTGTATGACAA